AGGTGGTAAACTCTTCATTTAAAATTGAGTTATAAATAATAAATAAATTATAAACATTATAAAAAAATAATAATGTGAATCCATAAAATGTGACACAAACAGGCAGGACTAATCTGTCGGATGATTCTCAATGATGAAGTTCAAAATATTCCAGATGAGTCAAGTAATAATAATAATGATTTGAACAAGACAAGTTTAATGACATATTATCTATAAAGGGGGTGGGGCGAATGTGTATCGTTTCCGCTTCAGGTCTGTAATTGAATCAAGTGGGTCACACTTTTGCAATATAGGGGCGATCTTCATATATAAACTGTCTCTATATTGTACTGGCCTGGAACTAAATCTGGTCAGGTTTCTTAATATATCAATAATGAACATACATTAAAGTAGCGAAGTCTCTAACTCGGTATCATCCAAAGTCTTCGACATTGAAAACACGAATTATCTGTCAATTTGAATCAACATTGATGTTGTGTTCTTACTGCTAAAAGATGGACTTCTGATATCCAATATTTAAAGGGACTATCCCGATTTGAACAGAGTCTCAAAAATAAAAGTCCGAGTTCGTATGAAATTTAAGCGCCAAAATAATGAGGAATGATGTATTCACCTTGTCTCAAAATTTCAGCTCAAAATATTGTGTTGTTTGGACGTGAACGTCAAAAATGCTTATCCGGACACGTAACCCTTTTAAGATTTCTGGTCAATTTTTTCGCTGAGTGACCTGATAATCCATCGCCGTTACTTTAGAGGTCTATACAGTGAATGACCCATGTGCCGCACTGGATAACGAAAGGTAAATTTCACCTACACATTGTTTTTATAAAATAAAAGTCTGGTTTTATCCAGACACCGCATAATACAGCTTGGGACACCGGTCTCCATTTCCAGATGAAGACTGACGGGTGTAAGTTGTTTGAAAACATATCACAAATATTGATTATGCTCGGCCCTTAGGTAAGGGGTTTTAACACAAAATTAAGCAGTTTTATTCTCCAAAATATTATCGGGATTGGCCCTTTAAGACAAAATAAACATTTTACCATTGGTAATCGTGTACCATAATGTGTTCAGACCCATTTGTAACAAGGGACTCGAAGAACGAGGCTAGACATATTCCACAAGCCATGTCAAACGGCGACGGCATTTTCTTATCTGGTGAGTATGCACAATAAATACTATCGGTGTAGACTGGAATAACCAGACGCTAGAGATTGCCATTCGGTTGAGACTTCCGGCGTATTTCGCCGAACATAACTAATTAGATATTACAGTAAAGACAAAAACGACTGAATGTAAATCAGTTTATAATATACATTCATACTACATTATTATATGCGTTGCGACCCATTTGTGTCAATATCTAGGTCCCAAATATTAGCGATTTAGCTCCTTTAAAATATGGGGTTGGATATCCAGGTCAAATGGTTAGCACGCGCGCGCTGTATCATACGGTCTGTCATTGAGTCAACTGGCGTGGTTTCGAATCCCCGGTTGTACGTGACAAGGAGTAGGGTCGCCTGTCCAACCTCGTGGGTTTTCTCCGGGTCCCCGGGTTTCCTGCCACTGCTAAAGACCCCTATGCGCAAGTGAATAATTAAAATAAAATTGAACCATATGTTAGTCCCAAAATGACCTAGTTTGTGTCGAGTGGACGTTAAACCCATCTCTCTCTCTCTCTCTCTCTCTCTCTCTCTCTCTCTCTCTCTCCTTTAAAATTACCAAAAATATTAAATATATGAAATAGGTTATGAAATAAAGTAAAAATGAAAGCACCAAATATTATTGATTATTCTTAGAAACTCATTACTTATCTTAGAACACGTTACTTATCTACCAGTTGCCTCACTAATCCTTACCTACCAGTTGCCTCACTAATCCTTAAACAATTTTAATTTCTCTATTATTTAGAAGATTATCACTCGAACGGTAGTTATAATGCAAATTTCAATAAGTCCTTTTCGGGTGAAAATGTACAATATTACATGTACGTGACAAGGAGTAGGATCGAGTGCCTAACTTCTTTGAATTTCGGCAAGTCTTACGGTTTACTCCCACTACAATATATATATTTTTTCCGTTTCGTATAAATATAGAAGCATGGCAACTTTTACATAGACGAAAGTTAATATAATCAGTGTCCACGGGAATAACTATTTTCAGGGTTGAAAATTTCCACATGCCTAGTTATACACAAAAAGGGGTAGGTAACCGTAACCCTAACCTAACTCAGACTTCCCAAGGACCGTCTCGGAAGTTAATATAATCATTGCCCACGGCGGTGTCTATTTTCTGGCCTGTCGGAAATTTCGACATGCCTAGTTAGACACAAAAAGGTTGGGCGTACATAACCCTAACACTAACCTAACAAGTATGGAATCCCCAACGTTCCTGAACTCTTCCCCAACCGGCCTGGAAATATACCATTGGCCATGGTGACGGGTGTGTGTTTCGGTAGACAATGTGTTACTGCACATAATAATGCCAAAATAACGATTGATAAATATTATAGGCCCTTGACTATGCTGTTGAATATGCTTTTAATTTTTTACAGATTTACCCTGTATACACAAAGTTAAACAAAGTTAGACATAATATATATTCGGTTGTTACGGATATTGAGAATTTAATTTATAACTTTAAAATTTAACTATTTTTAACGAGGGAGATAGAGAGATCTAAGAGAAATGGGCTTTAACGTCCACTCAGGACTAACATATGATTCAATTGTATTTCAACAATTCGCTTGCGCGTAGGGGGTCTTTAGCCGTGGGAGGAAACCTGAGGACCCGGAGAAAACCCACGAGGTTGGACAGGCGACCCTATTCCTTGTCACTTACAACCGTAGATTCGAAACCACGCCAGTTGACTCAATGACGAACCTTATGGTACAAACCTTGTCACGTATAACCGCTGATCGAAACCACGCCTGTTGACTCAATGACAGATCTTATGATACAGCGCGCAAAGCCCAGCCTAACCGGAGCGGGTCCCTGGGCCTGACTAGAATCGAGGGCCCCTAGGCCTAACGCGACGAAAAGATTATTTCATATCCTTTTGAAAGGCACACATGCGTAACACACAATTAAACGGTCTGTAATACAAGCATACTTACATAATATGTGATCATATACGAAATCTATTCAGTTCCGAATGGCATAGTACAATGAAGACGCGGAACTGTTATAACAAGTGAAATCCCCAATAACCGAGAAGGTTGAGGGATAGTTCAGTCTCCGCTCTCGCGCCGCTAGATCGATTACCGTGTAACTTTCATCTGAAATTATTTCTTTTCTCTTTTTTCCCTGAACTGCGGGGCCCCCTAAACCGCAGGGCCCTGGGCCCATGCCTAAGCCGGGCATTGACAGCGCACACGCGACAACCCCCCGACTATGGCTAGTTTCGTGCTGTTAGGGTGATTTGTTTATACTGAACATACTGGTGCGTGTGGGTTGACTTTCTGTATACGGAGGTAGTGATGTTAGAGTTCTCATCCTTGGATGTTGGTTGTTCAGTACTTAATGAAAGAGTCAGCTGGGGGGGGGGGGGGTTTCCAGTGGTGAGAGAAATTTGAAAAAATACTTGGCTGTTTTGTAATAAACTGAGTCGATATAGCATACCAGAAGTGTGTCTTTAATTGGACCTTTATGAATCTTTATTGGGGCTCTGAATATGCCATAAGTCACGAGAATAGTCTAATAGTAGAGACTTTTGGCAAGCGTAAATTTCTGGCCCGTATCGCGTATCCGTGTGGATTTTGCGTGTGTGCATTTCTCATACGTGATACGTCACACGGATACGGCAGCACGTATCGAACAGCTTTCATACGGAAAAGGTCCGTATAACATTGTCGTGTCTTTTTACCGTCTTTTTACTACTTTTAGACGCTGAATTGTTGTATCGTAGCGTTTTTATGAATCTTTGTGTATTCCAGAACACGAAGGTGTATATTTGATGTGATTTTAACCATGATGGTTGATCTACGTGCTAAATTTAGGGAACGGAACCTTGCAATTCTGTAAATGATTTTATTATGTGGTAAAGGGGTATAAACTTTGTGAAATGATACATTAGTGAAACCAAAAATTGCAGTCGAGTCGAAATCGAAGATTTTTTAATAAGATTCGACATTATTTTTTTTTTAATAGCTCAGCGACTGTCGGGCGACTTTATTCCCTCCGGGAAATTGTCGCCTCTAATGTACTGATGGTGATCTTGGTAGAAATCTGCCATCATGCTGTAATAGAACTAAGCTGTGCTGATCGACGCACACGTACGCGACGCGAAAATCTGCCAAAACTCTAAAAGTACATTGACGCAACGTATCAAGTAAACGATACGGATACGTGACACGGATGGGGAAATTCCGTTTGCCAAAAGTCTCTAGTATCCGAGAACTAACACCATTTAACAAGAATGAAGAAAAGATTACTCTAATATACCACCGTGGGTATTGTTTCACCAAAACCGGTCGCATTAATTCTATAACGTCTTTCGTGGTTTTTGTTTTGAGTGAAGCCTGTATCATTAGAGCGCTGTGGACGCTTACGTATGGAACCCTAAAACTACCATTCGTAATTTCTACTTTTCACCCCTTCAGAACGCGAAAGTCGAAATGTCGAAAAGTAGAAGTTGCGACAAAATGTGAGGCGATAATAAATTATACACAAAATCGACAGATAAATGGGAAATAAGAAATAAAAACACCAAGATAATAGCGCCCCTCGTTTTGTCATGAATTCTACTTTTCGACTTGCATCTTGGCTTGTGTAGCGTGATGGCGATTTTTCATATTTCTGTATTTATTCATGTCATTAAGAAGGTACCAACATGCATACCAAGCCAAAATGCAACTCGAAAAGTAGCACTTAGGAAACTAATTAGAGACGAATCATTTAAGCTTGCTGTCGAATTGTCGACTTTTCGAGTTTCGCGTTAACAAAATGGTCGGTGTGATAAAGTTATGGGAAATATAAATATATTTACTCGATACAAACTATACATATATTCATTATTGTTTGTATATAATATTGTAAAATAAACTAATCCTTTGATATTTGAGTTTATCATTATATGTATTCTTTCGAAAACATCTAAGCATGGAATTTATAGTAAACATTTTGTTTTCTCCGCATTTTCTTTGACGGTGTTTTTTTCAGTCTGACAGTCTAAACATTGCCATCTGGAATGAATGAACAGCTATGTTTCTGGCAAACTTTTTATTATTTCCTGATTGTCTTTATCGTAGTTACTTTCAGCTTCACAACCTGTATCAATCTGATGTAGAAATCTTGTTGAAAATAGTATAAAGGCAGCCAGTATAGAAGTACCACCCATATAATAGAAGGAGGCCAAATAATTACCAGTTATATCACGTAGAGACCCTGAAAAAATAAAATCAAACTAAATAAATAAAACATTGCCCATAGCTTAATGTATTGTTTCTAGTTAATCATGGCGCATAATATCTGAAAGTGTTTGATTATCTTCTGAAAGGGGTGTTAGGATGCTGTTTCTACACGATCAGTGGGCGTGTATGTTGATGACACGGGCGGGAGGGGGTATATGGCTTAATGTCCCACATCCCCATCCCCTAGCATGGGCCTGAATTGAGAACAACGACCTATTGTACGCTGTGCAACACTTGCACATTATAATATTTAGAAAATAATTCTGAAAATTATAACTTTATAATTAAGACCATGCAAAATAAATACAATTTCAACAGGTATATCGACATTTACGTGTTTATACATTTTACTTTCGCGTATGCCAAGTCGCCTCTTTTTACAGAGAATACAATATAAACATAACAAAATATACTCACCTAATATCAACGGCGCTATAGCGTTAGCAGAAGCCTCGAAGAAGAACAATAGACCCAAAGACTTTGGCAACTTTTCTATCCCAAAGAAATCTACTAAGATCAATGAGATCAGTGAAAAGTAGAAACTTCCGACAAGTCCGTACACTACACAATACACACAAAGATGCCAATACATTGTAACTAATGGCATCAAATTAGAAAGAACGCCATTAAGAAGAAACGAAATAACTAAGATGTTATATCTTTGTATTAGTCCACTATCAGCTAAAGCACCACACGCTATACGTCCTATCAGATCTGCAACTCCAATAATAGTCAACAGCCACACTAAATCTTGGTCTGTCATACCTAGATCTTTTGCATGAGCAGGGATATAAAATACTACATAGATAGAACCAGCTACTCCAAAACACACAGCAGAGAGTAGCAGTATATACTTGATATTTTTCATCAGGGACAAATCAATTAACTTTTTAAAATTAAGTACTTGTGGTGTTGTCTCTTTATCTACATCTACAGCTGTGTGCCGATTATTGTCTAAAGGCTCAGATTGTTCACTATTGGTGTGCAGTGAATATTTCTTAAAACAAACGGATGCTTTATTAAGGGAGTGATCTTCGGGATACGCATGTGTATAATGCGCAGTTGGTCGCATTAAAGAGCTTGTCAAAGCACTGTGAAACATAATGCCACCAATCAAAAGCAGACCCCCCCGTAAACCATAATTGTCAAACAGCAGTCGAACAACCGGTGGCATTACAAATTGTCCAACACTTCCTCCAGCTATTGCAACGCTAGTAACTAAACCCCGGCGTTTATTAAAATATTTTCCAATCATTACTAAGCTTGGTCCATAAAGAGAGGCATTTCCAATTCCTAAAAAAAGAACACAAAACAACATAGTATGGACCTATTGGTTTTCTAATTATAGTTAAATGTATTTATTTTGAATTTAAGCTTCATCTTTATTTCTTTGAATATTTCTTAATGCAAAATAAAATACTTAAAGGGGATGGTCCATCTGTTTTATTATATTCTAACAAAATAAAAGTAAATGACGACAGTGGCTCGGATCTGGGTGTCCCTCGTCCAAGCCCTACCCTTAAATTGAAAATACAATAATGGTGTCCTCAATACTAAATGATCATGTTGGACAATCCGCATTGGGTGAATAATAACACCTCTAAACCATCGGCCGTTGAATATGTAGTTCCACAACGATGCGGATGATACACAACTTAAATTCTGACTCAAATAATTTGAGTCGTTCCAAACAGAACATTTAAAGTGGTATTGGTAACATCAGGCTATGGATAGCTGAATAATTTCTTGAATTATTCGATAACAAAATGGAATCTCTGATTTTTGGCTGCTAGAATTCTGATTAAAGTTGATTATGATGTTTCGTTACGTGCATGGGACTGTACAAGAAGTCGTTCAACACCAGTAAGAAATATGGGTAATATATTTGATACGGACATAAAAATGGAATGACAAATTAACAATGTGTGTAAAGTGGGTCACTTTTATCCGTCGAATGAAATGAAATAGAGTTTAACGTCCTGCTTTTCTGAGGCAATTTGGCTAATGAAGAAAGACGGAAATACGCCATGAGGGAAATTTTAGCTGGACTGCACCTCTACGTTGAATTTCAACTATCAAGGGTTCTTGTAAGTGCACGCCAATGTGTACACGAGAAATCGATTTTTTGTCACCTCCGAACAACTAAACACTGTTCCTTGTCAGGCCCTCCGCCATGCACCATTGGCATGCGGAAAATAGGGCCCGGTTCCTAGAAAATTCTTAAAGTAAGCATAAAGTCATGCTACGCTTTTTCTTACGTCCCTAGAAAATTCTCAAGACCATTCTTACGAAAGCACAAGCCAAGTATAAGTCTAAGCACATTGTGACTGGTAAAGTTTACCATAAACTGAGACTACGATGCTCTTTAACGTCATAAAAACAACTTTGGTATGCGAATTACGTCTAAAATTAATTGTCGTCTGCTTCATTGACGTCATATATATATATATATATATATATTATATATATGGTTCATTTCGATGCATTTGACATGTTCCCTATTCACATAGAAAATGTGCCACAAGATAAAAAACGCAGACACATACAAACTAACTGAATAATTGTGAGAGCGTCTGATTTTAAAGCAGCCTAGCCAGGGTAAGCTTACTCATCCGGACATCTGTTACCACTGTTTGTCGTGTATTTTGTACACGGTGAATAGTCCATTATGCTGATTACACTATTTTGCCTGATTACACTATTTTGCCTATACTGCTTTTTTGGGACTTTTGTCTAATGGTTTGGATTGTTCGTACTTGGTTTTATTTTATTTTTATTACTAATTGGCAAATAAATAAAATGGTTTCAGGGTACACCTAGAAGCGAAATTTTCAATAGCATTCTTAATTTGAAATTTCTTCTGGAGAAGGATATTCTCTGTCTTGTAATTGTCTCTTTGTATCAAAAGGTGTCGGAAATGCCGTCGAATAACTAACTTTACGGTCAGCCATCTTTTTGAAGCAGAAACAGACTTAAGGTTGGTAAGCAAGCCGTATACCTTGCTTGGGACTTGTGCTTAGATTGACTATTTTTAAGAACGAAGTTGTGCTTAAGTTTTTTCTTGGAACGCATAATAATTTTCTTGTGCTTACAATGAAATCTACTTAAAATCTAAGCACAAGAACGTTCTTAAGAATTTTCTGAGAACACAAAATAAGGTAAGTTTACTTAAATGCAAAATCTACTAAAATCAAAGCACAAGAACGTGCTTAAGAATTTTCTAGGAATCGGGCCCAGGCCGGAAAAATCCCCGGAACTTCGGGGGCTAAATTGGTTAGCGAGCCCGCGTCTTGACTTACTCAGCCATCGCGGCTCAGGAAGTTTATAACAACTGATGCTACCAAGGTATTAATTCAGGCACTAATAACGGATTGATTTGGACAATTTTATTTCTTTGTTGTCTAAAATTGACTGTAATCTCCACGCCAATTAATTAGCTCCAGTTCAGATGATTGTTTAAAAAAGGCGAATGGACCTTTCCTTTCAAAGCTTTGAGATGAATTCACTTATGAGATATACATGTAATAAGAAGTTGCACATCTATTATTTAATTTTAATCTAACATGTTTAAATAATTTTGTTATTAAGGATTTATCTTACATGTAATATATATAATCGTTGCTGTTTGTAAGCCATCGTGTCTTGTTTGTTGTATATATGGCATGAGTGTTAGTAACCTGTGACATGTTATTATTGTACTTGTATTTACGAAAGCCCAGAAGGCTCATTCCAAATTCCAGATTCCAAATTCCAGATTCCAAATTCCAGATTCCAAATTCCAAATTCCAAATTTGCTGCTGTAGCAGAAAAAAAAATAAAATAAAAAAATGCCAGTCCTAGGAGTAGCTCACTGCAGAGGAACTTTGCCCCAAACTTTTCAGGGGATCACGTGGCTAAGTGGGTAAGACGCTGCATTGGCCGAGAAAGTTCATCCAGATTTTCCGGCGTGGTTCCCCCTTGTCAGTGATGCAGGACGGAGGGCCTGACAAGGACAGCTGTCTAGTCCTTCGGATGAGACGAAAAACCGAGGTCCCGTGTATACATTGGAATGCACGTAAAAGATCCCTTGGCAGTTGGAATTCGATATAAAAGTAGGCGATAGTGCCGCTGCCCGGGCAAAATTCCCCTCGTAGCACACTGTATGGCGTAAGCCCGTCTTCATTAGCCCAGTATAGGAGCAGAACAGTAGGACGTTAAACCCCATTTCATTTCATTTCCAAACTTTTCACATCTGCCGAAGCAAACCCGAACTGGAATATTGTTATTATACTCTAACTGATTTGTCAAAAGCAAAAACCTGATCCGATTGGTCGGATCAGATTTGGAATTTGGAATTAAGCATTTGGAATTTGGAATTTGGAATCTGGAATTTGGAATTTGGAATCTGGAATTTGGAATCTAGTAATTTGGAACGGGTATTTATCCGGCCCAGATAGGTAAACTAGAAGTCATTAGTTGTGTAAAATTACAATTTATATAAATTCTAATTTGTTTAATTGAGGGGGGCTGCCAATTTGCTATTTTATCGGTAAGACATGAATTTGGAATTTGGAATTTGGAATTTCGCATTTAGAATTTGGAATTTGGAATGAGCCTTCTGGGCTTTCGTATGTATTACCTGTCAAATAAATAATCTATTTATAAAGTGCTGAATATCAAACCGACGAATTGCTCAAGAGCGCTCAATTATGTCAAGGTTACGCCATATAAATACACCACACCATAATAGTAATTGATAGTTATTCTGTCGACGACGTCACGTTTACGGTGGTGTTCAAATGGGGGTGCATAAAGGTGGACCATCTCCTCCTAAGTTCTTTGGAATAATGGAATGAGCTCATTTTATCTAGTTCTAGAGAGAGTAAGAATAAACCTGCCCACTCTACTAATGAATCTCCTGGGCTATTTAAACATGTTACATGTTACATGACTCGGTGGCTCACTAACCAGGCGGGTCGGGTTCGATATCGATGTTAGCCGAGAATGTTCCTTGGTTTCCCCTTTTCACTGGTTCAGGACGGAGGGCTTGGCAAGGAACAGCAGCCCACCGAATGGTGTGTGCGCTTCTTCGTTGGCCCACTTGGTGCATAAAAGTAAGACATTAAACCCCATTTCATTTTTGAAGTCCTGAACAAGCTCGTTTCGTGGCGAATAATCAATAATCAATTTTCGCATAACAACTGGGTCAGTTGTACGATATTAAATGTATACACATACCTATCAAAGCACCATATGTGAATAGAAGAAAAGTTATATTTTGAGCAAAGAAGCCCAATCCAATTCCTAAAGAAGCCATAACTGATCCAAATAACATGACCTGTCTGTTGGTAAATATAGATGTTAAAATATGAAGCACTGTGGGAGCTAAAATGAAACAAATTGGCAAGTTTATTACAGTTCTGTGTAATTGTTTATTTCAAAATTGTTCATGGCTACAAAGTTGTTAAAAACGGGTTACAGTTGATGGTTCATTCGAGATACTATAACGTAATTATGGTATTCTTGACGCAGGAGGCAAAACATGTCGTAAAGCATTTTGTGCGTCATTTGCACTTTGGGACATAATCAAACCTTAAATGTATCCATATTGCCTATTTAATATCAAAATGTCAACGGTATTTAATCTTCCGGTTCGGCTTGGTCGAATTAAAAAGAGGCCAATCAAAAGATTCTGTGTAACTCATATGTGGTGCTGGCTTATGATGACTACATAGTCAGCAGAGGGTGAGAAATTTTCAATGCATCATAATTGATATCTTTGTAAATACTGAACCGATTTGAATCATGTTTCCTATATCCCGAAACGTTTCATAGTTGTAACAAGAGTAAGCTTACCATATCTGACGTTAAGGGCTCCTTTATTACTTACCAGCAAAGGCAAATGTCAGTGACTGTATACCAATAATAGATGACCCAAGAGCTGAAGACGCATTAAATTCATCTATAAATTCCACAAGAAATATACCGAAAGACTTCAAAATGCCGATCATAATCATATTTTGTACAATTGCACCTACAAAATAAATATAAAAAAATAGCTAAAACTGTAAGTACACATGTATACTCTTTTTAGTGGTATTTAAAATCAAATACAAAATGTGACATCTAGATGGTTCACAAACTACAAATACGATTTTTGGTACAATCGAGAACAACAACCTATAAAGTTACGATCTGATACGTATCAAGATCAGATCTTTGGGATATAAACATATATTATACTGTAAGTTTCAATAAAATTGGGATAATCGAAATCTTTGTGATAAAAAAAGTATATTGTAAGTTTCATCAAAATCGGATAAAATTATTTTCCGTACAATCAAGAGGAAAACATATTAAAATATTTTGATTTGTTTTAACTTCGGGATATGCCTGAAGGACACTATCCAATTTTGATGAAACTTAAAATATATGTTTATATCCCACATATCTCGGATTGGTTTTGCGCGTATCGGTCCATAAATTTATGGAGTATTGCCCCCGACTGTCCATAAAATTTTATTTTTAGTTTGTGGGCCCTCCATGTTTACATCCCACAGATCTTGGGTGGGTTTTGCACGTATCGGTCCGTAAATTCGTGGATTATTGCTTCTGAGTGTACGTAAAATCCTATTTGTAGCTTGTGGGCCCTACAGGTTACAATTTGTATCCGAAATATGTTTATGTCCAAACGATCTCGGATGGATTCGATTTTGGTGCGCATTGAACCACAGCTTCTTGGGTTACGGCCTCTGTCTTTTACGCATACATGTAATTGTGAATTATGCGTGACACTAACTCAGAATTTTGATGTTTGGATTTTTCTGCTAGGTTCGTTATTTATATTCTATGTTTTGTCTATAAAATGTGTTGGGCTATAAGAAGAGCAAAATGTTGAGAAGACTTTGAGTATAAGTCTAAATAGTGATGTGAGCCAAGTCAAGGCTTAAAGGAGTTATTTAATCTTTGAGTATAAGGTTAAGTTCTGGCAGAAAAGGTGCCAATATATTAAATGTATTGCGGTCCGTCCGTCCGGCGTCCATGGAAAATACGCCCACATTTTGCAAGAGATGGACAGAGAACGAGCTAAAAAAAATAATGTGATTTTTTGTAAATCAGGGGCCATAATCCAGGAAGATATGGTCCGATATGCGCGAATATCGAAAGGAACCGAGATCTGTGGGTTATAAACATGCATTTCAAGTTTCATGAAAATCGGATCAAAATTGTGATCTCTACATATACCTTGATATACCAGATGTTTACACAATTTACGTACGGGGTGAGGGGAGGGGCGGCCATTTTGTCTGGCAGTTTTGGTCCGATTTTCACGAAAGTTAAACCCATCCATCATTACGGTGTAACGGTGATATATTCACGCGGGTTTTTAAATCAGATAATAACTGTGACCTCTAGAGGGACCACAAGCTAAAACCGCGATTTTTCGTACAGTCAAGGGTCATAATTCAGGAAGTTACAATCCGATATGCGCAAATATAGAAATGAAATGAAATGAAATGGAGTTTAACGTCCTACTGTTCTGCTCCTATACTGGGCTAATGAAGACGGGCATACGCCATACAGTGTGCTATGAGGGAAATTTTGCCCGGGCAGCGGCACTATCGCCTACTCTTATATCGAATTCCAACTGCCAGGGGATCTTTTAAGTGCATTCTAATGTATACACGGGACCTCGGTTTTTCGTCTCATCCGAAGGACTAGACAGCTGTCCTTGTCAGACCCTCCGTTCTGCACCACTGACAAGGGGAAAACACGTCGGAAAATCGCAAATATAGAAAGGAACCAAGATCTTTAGGTTATAAACATGTATTTCAAGTTTCATCAAAATCGGATCGAAATTGTGACCTCTAGAGGGTCCACAACCTTGATATACCATATTTTTACACTGTTTGCGTACGAGGGGCTGCCATTTTGTCCGGCAGTTTTGGTGCGATTTTCACGAATTTCGAACTCAACCGTCATTCAGGCGTAAAGGAGATATCTTCAAACGTTTTTTTTTTTAAAAATCGGAATAAAATTGTGACCTCCGTAGGGTCCACAAGCTAAAAAACGTGATTTTTCGTACAATATCAGGGCCATAATCCATGAAGTTACTGTCCGATACATGCCAAGATCGAAAGGAACCGAGATCTTAGGGAGATAAACCTATATTTCAAGTTTCGTTGAAATCGGATAAAAATTGTGACCTATAGAGTGTCCATAAACACTTGTGGACGCACGGACGAACAGGGACGACGACAATATACGTCCACATGAAAATGTGGGCGTATAAAAACGTCAGAAATAACTACATGATAAATCGTTGTTTTCATAGTACATCCAAAGAAAAGACAAGAAAAAAACCCACATACCAAATCCTATCATCCACGCCCATCCTCTATCTACTGGAACTTCAGAAGCTGCCATTTTGAATCACGAAATCAGTCAGCAGCTGCAAAACTCTGAATATAAATAATGAATATAAAGATGTAAGAAGCAAACACACAATCATTACAATTTCAAAGGTTAAACCTGTATCATGTGCAGGAAAATGTTAACATGTGTACATTCCTTGTACTTGTACGGTAAACACGTACATAATGATTCATGCCGTTTATCACACTGATCAGCAGTGAATTTTCGCTAGGCCGTTACAATCACTGATAAGGATGACATCGATGCGACTTAATGAGTCCCAAATATTAACTTTTTTTCTTCCGTCAAATTAAATTCTAAAACATTTTTTTCATTTATTAGAAAAATAAATAAAGACGTTTGAATTATTTGTAGGTAAAAATCATTTCCTATTTAGTGTAAATGGGTATTAAAATAAGTAAAATCATAGAACTAAATACACCATTTAGCCCGAATCAGTAAAGTCTTATGTAAACAATGCACGCGCTATTGAGCCAATGATTGACGCCGTGCAATGATTGACGCCGTGTGATGTGACGTCACGTTTCGAAACAGTCATCTGTTACAGAGACATTAGAAGATCTCTGTGAAACAGATTGGCTGTTTATCTACCTTTTCTAAGAAACAGTGCAATCGGGGCGGGTGGAGGGGGTAATTTACAAACTAAATATGGAAGTCTGTTGCTGTCATTTTTATAATCTCCATTTTCCGCTTTGAGAAGCTCGCGCTTAGATCAAATGGTATAGAGTTCCACAGTATTGCTGCATTATAGGCAAATGATCTGTAAAAAGGGGTCTCTATGTTATACGTTGAAATACTTAATAAAGTCTCGGAACCTGGCCTCCGGGATCTACCTGGTTAGTATTAATTTAATAATATTATATAAGTAATCTGGTGCCATACCGTGTATGCATTGGGTTAGAACTTTAAAATCTATGAAGGAATTATAAACGTGAAGTAACATGACAATCATTTTTTGCAGCATGACAGTTATTTTTGCAGATACTGATGATTCGTGCAGCCGTATTCTGAAGCTTTTGCAGATGATAGATATTTCCACTGAAATACCTGCCAACAGGCTGTTGTATGTATTGGGTTAGAACTTTAAAATCTATCAAGGAATTTTAATAGTGAAATAACAGGACCATCCTTTTTGCTCATTACAGTGCTTTTCGCAGATAATGATGATTCGTATGGAGTGATAACGTTGCCAATATCATTTCAATGTTCACCGTACAAACTGCATATGGCAACAGTTCAAAATTCGTGTTTAAGTTTTACAGTTTATAATTTCCATTGCTCCACAATACCAATGTCACAGTATTAAAATATATAATACACTTTTCAATAATACATTACACATTACACTTCTCCATTCTGCATTTTGCATTAGACAAATGCATAATGGAACATAATATACCTTATATGGAATCTACGAGGAAGCTTATTTGCATACGGAAAAAAGTCCGGACTAGGACGGAAATAATTTACGCGATTAATCTACAAGGTCAACGTCTGTAGAAGGGGCATACAATAACTCACCATACAATAAGTCGGCTTACCATGCAATAAGGGCGAATCAAGCTAGCATGCAATAAGGAATTCGCTGGATGACCATGACTTTGATAAGTCCCACATATTTACTTATGTTTGTGTTAAAAAAGCTTAAAATACTCTACCTTCGGACCGAGCAACTAACTCGGTATATATGATACGTTTTCAAACAACTTAAACCTGTCAGTCTTCATCTGGAAATGGAGATCTGTGCTTCAAGCTGCATTATGCGGTGTTTGGATAAAACCAGACTTTTATTTTATAAAAATAATGTGTAGGTGAAATTTACCTTTCATTATCAAGTACAGCACGTGGGTCATTCACAGCATAGACCTCTAAAGGAACGGGAATCGATTATCAGGTCACCCAACGAAAAAATTGACCCGAAAAATTAAAAGGGTTACGTGTGCGGATAACAGTCCACACGACTCAATATTTTGAACTGAAATTTTGAGAAAAGGTGCATACACCATTCCTCTATATTTTGGCGCTTAAGAGTAGGCCGTATACAGCGCCGCTGTCCGGGCAAGTTTTCCCACATAGCACACTGCATGGCGTATGCCCGTTTTCATTAGCCCAGTCGGAGCAGAACAGTAGGACGTTAAACCCCATTTAATTTCATTTCATTGATAGTTTTCCGAAGATCTGTAAATATGAGTACCGACCCCTTCTACTGACAAGGTCCATCGCGTAAATTGTCCGGACTTTTTTCCGTATGCAAATGAGCTTCGCCATAGATCCCATTCTAAGGTATATGTTGTTAAGTTCTATTATGCATTTGTCTATTATGAAAAATGCAGAATGAAGAAGTGTAATGTGCAAAATAACTATTATACTGTATTTTGTATTATTGAAAAGTGTTTTCTATAGTTTAACACTGTGACAATGGTATTGTGGAGCAATGGAAATTGCAAATTCTAAAACTAAAATGCCTATTTTGAACTGCTGACATTTGCATTTTGCACCGTGAACATTAAAATAATACTGGCAACGTTATCCTTCCATACAAACTTGGATGAAAGCCATACGAGACGAAAGCGTGCGAAGTCACCTGCGGCTTTAAAGTGACATCGCCAGATATTACAGCTGTGTCAAGTGCGTGTTGTTTACCACGTTTTTAATCTGTATTCCCACTGCAGTAGCATTCTGTCAAATGATTTTGCAATGTAAGCTAACTGCCATAACCAAATTTAGCAATAATGTAACCAATATTTATTTTGTACATGACTGGTGGAATTAATATAGTTTCCACAAACTTATTCTGTAGAGTCCAAAGTCAATACTCATTCCAAATTAATCGAATGTCCCCTTTCCTTTACACGTAATGTCAGCAATGTCAAAACTTAATTGTCAAAATAGAACCCCAATTCAAAATGATAAGAACTGTTTGATTTGATTTGTTTTGATTTTATATGTTGATTTTGTTTTTGAGCGACGACAATCTGTCCTTATGGAAAACCCGAATGAAAACCTAGCCCCTTCAAAAATCTCGTGGGGGCGGGGGGGGGGGGGGTTGTTGTCCAATCTTTTCTCATTGACCGTTGCCCCATGTTTTCACAGTGGGCCATTGCATTGTCCAACGGATTTCCCATGGTGGTTAAGTGGTGTTACCATATTCTGAAATAAAAAAAAGTCTGCCTTTTTCCAATCTGATTAAAATACAGATCTATATTTCGTTTCGTTTTTTCATACTTTCGATGGCCTAGCCTAGTGTAGTAAAGACAAGTAAAACGAAATTTTGAACTATAAAAAACGAAACGAAGTAGGATTTGTGTTTTAATCAGATTGGGCTTTTCCTGGAGCTTTGTATCAGAGGCTCGTACTTTAAATTCTGGTATACATCAGAAAGTTTTCTTAAATGATATTCATTAAATTGCATGTATCAATATTATACTTCGTAAAGTCTATGATCAACACAGTAAACCAAATATGAAACTAATTATGAACAAGCTTAACTTTTCAAAACAAACATTTAGCAGCAAGACCTTTCCCAGTCTGTACTGATCAAAATAACATATCCGATCAACAGCAATCATTATAATATTTAGACCTGATTTAAAGAGCTTATCGGTATTATTTTCATAGTGTGACCCATTATTCGATTGTGGATTAGATCGATGACATGTCGTTTATGTTCTATTGTATACTCAGTGGTATGCAGGAATGTAAGCAGAGGGGCGACAGCCCCGCGTATCCTTTTTTTTTGGGGGGGGGGGGGGGGTGGCCGTGGATTACCAATCAAAGATTTGAATTAAAATTAAGTTGCCTTTCATAATTTCAATATCGCGTTTGTTTCAAATATTTTTACATGTTTAAATGTTTCGCAAGGAGTTGACACCAGGTATCCCCAACTGGACGCCGCTGTGTTTACTTGAAATAACTTAGATAGCCTTTTGACTATATTAGTGACCTTGCTATCGATAGGCAGGATTTACATTATAATCCAATATATATATATACACGATAACTTTTGAAGGAGGTAAACTACTGAATTCAAATTTGTGATATGATAAATAGTCATGGACACTTGACATGCTTTGAGAGTATGTTCACAGATGAAGAACTTATCGCCCCAACTTAACCACTGAGCTGCATGTGCGACAAGCAATAGCGCCATACACGTGGGAGTTGTTTATTGTCAAATTTGACACTTCAAGGAAGGGTTGATGAAAACTACCGCTTGCTGGTTTATCCTATCCATGTTTGCTTTCCTATAGGTGCTTGCATAAGATTTATTGTTTAGCGTATCTTTGCTTTAGTTTGTTACGTTTAATTTGATCGAAAGACGTGTTCGTCGACGTCAATGTCAACCGACAACACTGCAAGAATTGGCCGTGACACTGCAAGAGGAGTGGGTCAGATTGCCCGAAATCGTGATTGGACGGTTGATTGGAAGCATGCTACGACGAATTGCTGAATGTCTGAGGATTGGTGGAGCAATTACTCATTATTAAGACAAAAATCAAAAGCGTCCATTTTCACTTTTGACAGGGTATCTCTTTGCGAGTGAAATGGGGCCGTCAGATAAGCCGCCCATATGAACTGTTTATGTTCATGTGAAGGCAATTAATTGGCCTGTTATTAACATACACTTTTATAATTCAGTAATATCTTTCTTAAATAATTTGTGTCACGCACGCTAACAGTTACCATGCCTCGTGTAATCAAACTTCATTTTGTATTTTTCTTCTGATGAGTGTGGGGCACCACATGAAACTTTAAGTAAAGAACTTACAGATTTCATATACCGGTATTAATTATTTATATTTGCTCTGGATTTATTCATCGAGCACTCCGTGTTTAGCATATGTACACTATTTGGATTAGTAGAAAGTAGAAAATACCATTAGAGAAATTTTATTTAAATGCCTACATGTTTCGCCGTTAGCTTTTCAAGGCAATAATAGATAATGGCGTTACGTCATTATGTAGCGTCATTATGGAGAGATAGAGATAAAAATTAAAACGAAATAATATCAATGGTTAAGTTTGGGTTTGAATTTGTTTATAAAATACTCTTCTTTAACTCGTAATTTTGTGATATTATTATCAGACAGTTTATAAAAGGGGAAAATATGAAAATGTGGCGATTTATTTTTAGCACACTCCGCGATATGCCCACTTAATGGGATCTTGCGGTATATTTCCTC